GGTAACCTCATGTATAAGCTTGATATTTCTAAAGCTTATGATACTATCAATTGGAATTTTATCTTGGAGGTTCTTAAAGCTTGGGGGTTTCAAAATTCCTTCTCCCAAATCCTTCACATGTGGCTTAATAATATTTCTTATATCATTCTTCTTAATGATAATTCTTAAGGGCATTTCCAAGCTACTAAGGGAATCAAATAAGAAGATCCCCTTTCTCCATACATTTTCTATTTGGTTATGGACTACTTATCTAGGCTTCTTAACCATAATTTTTTTGAAAAAGAATATCTCAGATTTTCTATTAAAGCAAATTTTTCCATAAGTCATTTATGTTCTGCTGATGACTTCATATTGTTTTCTAAGGCCTCAAAACTAGCAGTGAAGAAGGTGGTCAGTTCGCTGAACTTGTTCCAACAGATCTCTGGTCTCTCTCTAAACTCAAAGAAATGTCAACTTATCTTTAGAAATAAGCTCAATTCTGCTACCAAAAACTGTATTAAGGATTTCACTAGTTTTAAATCTGCAACCAGCCCCTTGGTTTATCTTGGGGTACAGTTGATTAAAGACAGGAATAAGCAAACTCAATTTGATGAGGTGGTTTCAAAAATTTCCAAACAAATCTCTTATTGGACTAATTCTTAGGGGGGAAGGTTAACCTTAATCAAAAGTATCCTAGCTTCTTTCCCTATGTATATTATGCAAATGCTGAAGATGAAAAAAGGCACACAAAGAACCTTGGAGGTGATGTTGAACATTTTTTTTTTGGAAGGAAAACATAAACAAGCTCACTGGTTTAGTTGGGATAAGCTTTGCCTACCTCTTGCTGCAGGGGGGCTTGGTATGAAGTCTTTCAAACAACTTCATGATATCTTCTAATGGAAACTCTGGATCAAATTTAGAGAGCAGAAATCTTTGTGGGCTAACTATATGAAGTTAAAATATTGCAAGCACTCTCATCCAACAATTATCTGCAGAAAACCTGGGGATTCTAGAATTTAGACTGAACTCCTACATATCTGGAATGTGGCTGAAGATCTTTTTATCTAAGATATGGGAGAAGGAAAAATTGATTTTTGGTTAGACAACTGGCTACTTGATGGTAAATTGGATCCATCTGTCTCTCTGGGCTCAGCTATCAGCACCCCTATTCAATTATGCTGGAATGGTCATTATTGGAATAAAGATATGTTGGCTTCTTTGGTGAATCCTGAACAATTGTATCAAATCCTTAAGCTCCCAGTCACTCCACATAAGCCAGATAGAATTATGACTAAAAATCCTCCTCATACCTCTCTTACCAAATTTGCATATTATCAATTAAACACATGGCATCACAAGGATTGGGGTCAAGCCATGTGGGTGAAATATCTCAGGCCCTCTATGTCCTTCTACACTTGGAGATGTTTTCATAATATTATTCCCACTAATGATATACTTAAACTCAAGGGTTTAAAATGACCTTCAAGATGTAGCTTTTGCTGCCAACATGAGGAATCCTTAAATCATTTATTCTTCTCTTATCCTGTTGCACAAGGGGTTTGGACGCAGGTGGATTTTAAACTCAATTTCCCCTCCCATCTGTTGGGTTTTGGAAACTTCCTTGATTGCTGGAAGGTTTGGAAAGAGAAACATGTTGAAATAATCCCTTTTATTACTACATGGTTCATCTGGATGGCAAGAAATAGCAGTAAATATGAGGGAAGAACTCAAAGTGCCACACAAATTTGCCACACCTGCTATGCCTATACTCTTAAGATAATTGTTATTAACTGCTACAAATTGTTATTAACTGCTATGCCTATACTCTTAAGATAATCAATCTCATGGGATTAAATATTATAGTTCTTGGGTGCTCCCAAGTCCTTAATACTCAAAGTTCTCCTTCTGTCAAATCACATTTCCTTCTGTTCCTTTGAGGAAACCTATTTATCCTAGGATCAAAATCAACATTGATGGGAGTTATAGAAGACACAGTGCTGGTATTGGGGGTATTTTCAGAAATCACTTTGAGGAATGCCTACTATTTTTCCAATCTCCCACTGATGCTTTAAATGCTTTACAAGCTAAAGCCTTTCCTATTGTATGGGCATTTCAAACTACTGTTGTTATTGGATGGAACTTTCTATCTATGGAGCTGGACTCCTCATGGCTAGTCCAGCTTTTAAAGGATAACATCTCCCCACCTTGGTTTCTTCTCCCAACTTTTAAGCAAATTGCTCACATGAAGGTGACTCACAACTTACAGATTAATTGGAATCATATCTTCAGGGAGGGTAACAGATGTGCTAATTGGCTTGCACATCAAGGTGAATTGTCTATGTTGCCTAAAGTGAATACCCCCCCCCCCCTTTGTAGCTGCCTTGGTAGATTAATGCAGATCTGTGTTGATTAATGCAGATCTGTTTGATCTGCCTTATATTAGATGGGGGGTGTCAACTACAGAAACTTCTAATCATCTGCCTAGGGAGGGCTCTTGTTTCCTTTGGTCCTTGCTGATTTGGAATTTTCTTTTCTGTTTTTCTCTTCAGCCCCTCCCCTGTTGTATGGGGAAAGGTTTTAACAGGTTACAATTGGTTTTTATTTTCTTTTTTGGGGAGCCCCTTTGGCCCCTTCTGGGTGGACCTTGGTTTCTGTTTGTGATCCAAACCCCCTACAGCTTTTATAACCCTTTAATTCAGTCTAACATATAGGGAGTCTCTGGTACTCCTTTTTCAAATATATATATATAAAATATTAAATGTATTTTATCTTGTAAATATATCATAAATTTAAATTATTCTAAGATATGGTTTAATTTTATTTATAATATTATTTAGTTGGCATTATTATAATAAATTTTACTTAAATGTATTTATTATTCTAAATTAATACATAAACAATTTAGTTAATATTTATTAAATATTTTTCAAATAAATTTACAATAGTTTCACCTATATATCTATAACTATTAGCCTATCATGTTGAAATTATTTATTTATAAATTATATTTCTATGTATAATTTTAATTTTACTTAAGTTAACATAATAAATATAAAAACACTAATTATAAACATTAATTTAATAATTTTAACTTTATGTTTAACATTTATATATTTTAAATTAATTATATTATATGTATAATTTTGAAATTAATTGTTACTATATATAAATTAGCACAATATTTAAAAAATTTAGTTATACATTAATGTATTAAAACTATATTATTATATACTTAATATTATATATGTTTTAATTATTACTAAATTAAAAATAATGTTTTTTTATAAAAAACAAGAATAATACTACAATAACATTTGAATACCGCCACAAAAAACGCCGCAAAACACTAGGAATCAACGACTAACAAAAAGCATGAATAATATTGCGGATAACACCTTAACAACATATGAATACTACCGCAAATAACACCGCCAAACAAAACATCACGAATCAATGAGTAGCAAAAGGCGTGAATAATACAATGAATAACATCACAATAACACCTGAAAATCACAGGGAATAACTTTGGGAATCAACGGACGCACGACTGTGTGAATAAATACAGCGAATAACACGTCGAATAACACTGCGAATAACACCAGGCGCACAATCGCGGGGAGGGCAGAGCCATAAATAATTTTCTCCTAACGCAGGACTCGAGGTCAAATGCGGAACTCGGCATGTAATACAAAAGGAAACCAGTTTATCCAGCAACGCAACGAAGACGGAGAAAACAAACACCAATGTCAACGCTTTGAAAAAGCCCTGCAACTGTTCTGCGGCGCCAAGCGCACGTTAGTTTCCTACTTATAAAATCCTTTCATGGTATTGTTATTTAAATCTTTAAATGATAGAATTCTAAGGTTGAGACTAAAACCAACTTATCATTTTATTACGACTTGGCTCCTAGAATTTTCTTTTCATTATGAGCTTTGACCACTTGGTCATTAGTTGATTTTTTTCTGCAATTTAAAGCTATTATTAAGATATTAAGTTGGTGCTTGGATTATTCCTCATCCACATGGTAGTGATTACAATGACTGCTTTCATCAATCTTACTCACACCATCATTCACACAACCAATCTTAATTGTCATTTTGGAGCATGAATTTATTTTTCCTAAGCTTTTTCCTTCTATCATTCACTTATATATGCTGACTCTCCTTAAAAATCCATTTGGTTAAAAAAATGTGCTATGAATTATACTACTCTTGGTTAAAGAACTCATATTTCTAAGCTAAAATATAAAACTTTTTTTGGCTAATCTTGGTCATATCATTCACTAAATTAGTTTTCTTTGTCAACTTCGTAATGAGATGACACCTCTTTTTTAATGTCTTGCCCCACTTAGGTTATTGAACCTTTATATCCATGAATGAAATATTATTCATTTGGAAAACACATTTTTTCAAATTTTGATTAATGCTGCCACAATTAAATACAATAATACTAGAAGAGTATCCCATTGCTATTTAGCTTACTGTGCATTATGTATAACTTGTTATAGTTAAGTATATTAGCTATAATAGATATATTTTAAAGGAGATTTTATTTCATAGAAGTTGAAAATTCTATGCTGAATTAATTAATCTGTTTTTTGATGGGTTTCAATCGACTTTTTTACGATTCGTGAGAATTTTGAGGCCTCATTTGTTGTTAAAGACTAAATATTATTTGCTTTATGACTACACAATGAGAGGCGCCTCTCCATTGTTTGTTGTTGGGCTAGTAATGGATTAAACTCATTTTGGGCAACGTATCTGGGACCAATTGGATGTTTATTTATACATCGTTTTATTAGCAGTGCATCTAATGACTTTTCTTCAGCTAATTCTTCTTTTGATTCCTTTTGTGATGAGCAATGATGAGAAAACTATATGTAATATAATTAACATAATATGAGAGGCATGAAAAAAATATTTACAAACAAAAAATACTCCAGAAGTCATGAAGCGGCTCAAAATAACATCAAAGCAGCGCAAAACTAGAGCAACAATTTTGACTTGATATCGCCAAAAACCTATAAAGGCTTCAGGAAATGGCACAAATGTCATTGAAATTTAATCTAAAACAAAACTATAGGAGGCCGGTTGGGTATATGGTAACAGCAATCCAAAAAATTAACTGATAATTTGCTTTTTGATATCAGCAATCACTACCAAAATTAGCAGCATATACATAATGAAGCAAATTGCTGATTATAACATCAAAGTGTAAGCGGTTAGAACTGCACAAAATACCAGACTGAAGGTCAAAACTTTGAGAGGCCTCACTTGTCTCTTAGTTTCTTTGAGGACTTCGGTGTGGGGTTTGGTGATTCTTTGAAAGCAGATGGGCAGAGATTATTTACAGAGCAGATGTTGCATTTCGGCCTGAGAGGAGTGCACACAGTTTGTCCAAACCCAACCTGAACCAAATCACAAATTATGAGGAAATAATTCTTACCGGAATGCCCGAATTCCTTTGCATTCAGAAATGAAAACTGAAGCATCACATTTGAAGATATTTTCAATAGCAATTAGGACATTTATCTCTATCTCTAAATAAGACGCAATGGAGAAAAAGGATTCATGTAGCCAACCCCACGTAGTGGGATTAAGGCTTTGTTGTTGTTGTATCTCTCTCTCTCTCTCTCTTATATGTGTGTGTGTACATATAAAATTATAATTTAAAATTTTAATATCATGCAAAAAATTCAGCACACATTCAGATAATAAAAAGAAACACGAGGTGACACCAGGTATCCCTACGTGGAAAAGCCCGAAGAGAAAAAACTATGGAGCCCAGCCCAAGTGAAATTATCCAATATAAGTTTATGAGTATAAAAATAGACTCTTGTCCTGCAACTAGGAAAGGGTTACATAATTTCTCCAAGTACATGTTCTTATACATGAGTACATGTTCTTATACATGAGTATTTGTCGCACAACGATCGAAAGCATCTACTTTTAAAAAATATTGCCAGTCTTTGACACATCGTGTTCGGGGTATGTTCATTAAATAGTATTTAGAATACTATGTTTCTCCATGTGTGTGTGTGTGTATGTACATATAAAATTATAATTTAAAATTTTAATATCATGCAAAAAATTCAGCACACATTCAGATAATAAAAAGAAACACGATGTGACACTAGGTATCTATACGTGGAAAAGCCCGAAGAGAAAAAACTATGGGGCCCAGCCCAAGTGAAATTATCCAATATAAGTTTATGAGTATAAAAATAGACTCTTGTACTACAACTAGGAAAGGGTTACAGAATTTCTCCAAGTACATGTTCTTATACATGAGTATTTGTCGCACAACGATCGAAAGCATCTACTTTTAGAAAATATTGGCCAGTCTTTAACACATCGTGTTCGGGGTATGTTCATTAAATAGTATTTAGAATACTATGTTTCTCCATGTGTGTGTGTGTGTATGTACATATAAAATTATAATTTAAAATTTTAATATCATGCAAAAAATTCAGCACACATTCAGATAATAAAAAGAAACACGATGTGACACTAGGTATCTATACGTGGAAAAGCCCGAAGAGAAAAAACTATGGGGCCCAGCCCAAGTGAAATTATCCAATATAAGTTTATGAGTATAAAAATAGACTCTTGTACTACAACTAGGAAAGGGTTACAGAATTTCTCCAAGTACATGTTCTTATACATGAGTATTTGTCGCACAACGATCGAAAGCATCTACTTTTAGAAAATATTGGCCAGTCTTTAACACATCGTGTTCGGGGTATGTTCATTAAATAGTATTTAGAATACTATGTTTCTCTATATGTGTGTGTGTGTGTGTGTGTACATATAAAATTATAATTTAAAATTTTAATATCATACAAAAAATTCAGCACACATTCAGATAATAAAAAGAAACACGAGGTGACACCAGGTGTCTGTACGTGGAAAAGCCCGAAGAGAAAAAACAATGGGGCCCACCCAAGTGAAATTATCCAATATAAGTTTACGAGTATAAAAATAGACTCTTGTCCTGCAACTAAAAAAGGGTTACAGAATTACTCCAATTACATGTTCTTATACATGAGTATTTGTTGCACAGCGATCGAAAACATCTATTGTTAGAAAATATTGGCCAATCTTTGACACATCGTGTTCGGGGTATGTTCATTACATAGTATTTAGAATACTATGTTTCTCCATATGCAAGAAACTCCGTCACTCAATAGAGTACTTCATTACTCTACAATGTAGGGCGTTACTCCGCAATGTAGGCTGTTAATCTGCAATGCCCACCAATGTTGGCGAGCAAGGGGCGGTTGGCAGTGATCGACGGATGCCAATAAGCGATGGTCGACAGCTACGGAGATCGGGAGTTGTCGTCGGATCTTCAGTCCAAAACTGCACTGGAAATGTGATCCTTCTTATTCATCCAAAACTGCACTAAAAAAACTCTTATGATTAAGGGGAATCTATGAGCTGTTTGATTAGGTGCTTGCAGTGGCTATTTGTCGGAAAACAAAAATTTCCCTCATCTAGGGCGTATAAATAGATCCCCTCTATTCACTTGCGGCATATGAAGGGACGTCAGGACAGCCGAGTCAGGCCACAGTAGGCAGTTTGCGCATTGTCATGCAACGCAACCACTCTGGGTTGAGCCCTACGTTCGTGGGATCAAACGACAGACAATGGGCCAAGTCAGTGATCTGAATCATGAATCGCACCGCGTGACATTGGGATCGCATGCTTCGTGCATGAAAATGCATGGAACCACAAGGTTGTGGTGAATCGTATGGGGCACACAATTTCACAAAATCAAATAGTTGGCACCTTTGAATCTAAAATCTTTTGGATTTCGGAGTCATTTTTTACCATTTTGATCCTATAAATAGGTCAAAAAAAAAGAGAGGGCTTCCCCTCTGAAGTGTTTAGAGTCCTTTGGACTGATGTTGTGTCTCCTTTTGTGCTGGCATAGTGTAAACCCTTCCTTTGGCCGGTTATGTCTCCTACGCTAGCGTTACGCAACCCCTTGAGATCCTCTAGTCAATTGTTTTATCTCCTTCATGTTGGTGTAACCCAACTCCAATAAATTTTTTGTTTAGTTGTTGAGCTTCCTTCACGCTAGTGTAGCACAACTTTCAAAATTCCTTTAGTCAGTTATTGGGCTTCATTCGCACTAATGTAGTGCAATCCCCAGAGTTCTTTTTGTCAGTTGTTTCGCCATAACCTGTGCTCTTGGAGGAGAGTTTTCACATTTTGAGATGTCGATGTCCGAGGAATCTCATCCCCACAAAAATCAAAGAAAATACCAAAATCTTCATAAGACAATATCGACACTCACTAAAGATGAGTTGGTCCTTTCATCAAAGGCATGGAAGACCAAGTTTGTGGATATCTACAACTCAAGTTCATATAAATATTATTATTAGGAAACCAATTAGCAAAGTGTATGACTGAATTATCCTCAATGGTGATTTTCCTCTCTCCGCAAAGCCTAGATCTGATAAATACTTGAGAAGAGCTGAGTGAGACATGAGCTAACTTTGATCAGAGTGCGAGAATTTGTTGGTTTTTCAAGCGGAAGTATTGGCTCTTGAAGAGGAAAATATAAAGTTGTGGGCCCAACGTGTAGGAGAAACCTATCAAAATTTCTGTAAAAGGATTCATATGATACACAACTGAATTGTAACTGACCCGAAGGACATACCTCCCAAACAGGTGTCTAAAGATTTTTCTTCTTGATCAGAAAGGAGAAGCTGAAAGTTACTTGTTGTAACTTTTATGCCAAAGCATTTATCTTTGTAGTTTTTCACTTGTTTGATGTGAAATTTGTACATAATGATTGTGTTTATCTGTACAGCTCTCTTTTCCGCTTGACGTAAGTTTTACACATTATGATAGTGTATTTGTTAATATCTCTATGTGATTGTTCAATGTAGCTTTTTACACTTTTTAAATATCTATTTTTTTCTTTATATCATAGCACATTCTTGGATTGCAAAGTGAGTTGAGAGTTACCAATTTATTTTTGGAGTCACATATGAGGTTATTTTTACCCAACTTCCGAGCAAGTGATGCCCCATCTCATGGGCTAGCGTACAATTGTTGATTCTTTATAACTCGCCGCCAAAGAAGACAAAAATATCATTAGTCTCGATGAGAGAGATCCAATATATTCAAACTGAAGTATTGCCCCTAGTAGAAACATAATCACATCGAACTCTCGAGTTTTATACCTCCTGAGGTTCTTAGGACAATATTTAGCTTCTTAAATCCGTAATCAAAGTTAGCACATGCATTTTGCATAAAGAAAAATTATATAACTTCTGAGATCTGTGCATTCAAAAGTTTTAGAATATATTTATATCCTCTGGGACTTATAGTCTTTAGAGGTTTCAAGTATCCATGTACTTTCTAAGGCTTATAGCCCTCTAAGATTTTTTTTAATATATATGTATCTTCTGACGTTTATAACCTACTGAGGCTTTTTAATAAACTTGTACATTCTGAGACTTATAAAATTTTGAAGTTTTTAATGTACTAGTACCTTCTGAAGCTTATAATTTTTTGAAATTTTTTAGTATGACTATACCTTTTAAAACTTATAGCCTACTGAGATTTTTTAGTGTAACTATACCTTTTAAAACTTATAGCCTTGATGTATCGAACATTCAATTTATTTCTCTGAATGATATTTTGTATAGTCAAAATGACAATATTGTGATAGGTCTCTTTAAACACTTAAGGTATTTAAAATTTTGAATCTCTATTAAAATATTACTTCCAGATGAGTTCAGTAGAGTATGTTTGGATGTCTAAGATAGATAGTATTTTTTTCCCTATTAGCTTTGTGCACTTCTCCAAGAGTGTGCTTGTTTCAAGGAAGATTGTTCAAATTGTCTTTGATGTGCATGAATAGCTTTATCGTTAGTGGTCTGAGCCTCAACACAATAGATAAGGTTGGTGTAGGAGTGAACAATCTCTTGCAATAATGATAAGTAGAAGGGCCTAGGTCATAAACCTTCTAGGAAAATGCCACTTAACAACTCTGGATCCACATCTGGAATTTGATGAGTCTCAGTAGAGAATCTTTGAAAATATTCTTTAAGAGATTCTCCTTCATTTTGACAAATTCCAGAAAGATGAGAACTCATTGATAATTCTTTGATTTGCTATAAACTGCTCCACAAAGAGTTTGAAAAGTTCATTGAAACTACGAATAGTTCCTCTTGGGAGTGAATAAAACCAAGTACGCACCTAACCTTTAAGGGTGATAGGAAAAATTTGACAAAAGAGTACATCAACAACACAATATATATGCATGACAGTTCTATAGTGATCAATATCCTCATAGGGGCTAGATGTCTCATGGTAAGAGTTGCTTGGAAGCTTAAATCTTACTGGAATGGGGTATTAGAAGATTATATCTGCCAAAGAAAAATAGTCC